AAAAAAAAAAAAAAAAAAAAAAAAAAAGATTTTGGATCAATTATTCCAAGGTACAGCCTAGATTTCTCTTCTTTCCTTTTCTTTTTTTTGGGGGGACAGAGTCTCTCTTGGCTGGGTGCAGTGGTTCATGCCTATAATTCCAGCACTTTGGGAAGCCAAGGTGGGCGGATCACCTGAGGTCAGGAGTTTGAGACCACCCTGAGCAACATGGAGAAACCCCGGCTCTACTAAAAATACAAAAAAAAAAAAAAAAAAAAAAAAAAAGAGAGTCCTCCTCTTATTGCCCAGGCTGGAGTGCACCAATGCAATCTTAGCTCACTGCAACCTCTCCGTCCGCCCCCACCCACCACCTTTCAAGCGATTCTCTTGCTCAGCCTCCCAAGTAGCTGGGATTATAGGTGCCCACCACCACGCTCCACTAATTTTTATATTTTTAGTAGAGACAGGGTTTCGCCATGTTAGGTAGGCTGCTCTGGAACTCCTGACCTAAGGTGATCTACCTGCCTTGGCCTCCCAAAGTGCTAGGATTACAGGCATGAGCCACTGCACCTGGGCGATTATTTTATTTTTAGTAGAGACAGATTTCCCCATGTTGACCAGGCTGGTCTTAAACTCTCGACCTCGGGTGATCCACCTGCTCAGCCTCCCAAAGTGCTGGGATTATAGAAGTGAGCCACCGCATCCAGCCAATATTCTTATTTATTTATTTATTTATTTGAGTTAGGGTATCCCTCTGTCACCCAGGCTAGAGTGCAGTGGTGTGATCAGAGCTCACTGCAACCACCAAGTCTTGGGCTCACACCATCTTCCTGCCTCCGCCTCCTGAGTAGCTGGGACTACAGGTGCGTGCCACCACACGCAGCTAATTTTTGCTTTTTTGGTAGAGATGGGAGTCTCACTGTGTTGCTGAGGATGGTCTCGAACTCCTTGGCTCAAGATCCTTCTGCCTTGGCCTCCGAAAGTGCTGGGATTACAAGCATGCATAACTGTACCATGCCCCTTGATCCTTACTTTAGAAGTTTCTCAGGTAATATTAGTATGCAGCAGGGCTGAAGTTTTACTGATCTGGTTCATTGACTTATGCCTCATGGGCGATTAATCCTTTACTATAGGGAGATCAAAGGCTTTGCAGGAGCTTGCTTGAGATCCAATCTCACTTGGCCATCTGGCTGACTCTCTGGATCCTACTCATTTCCACGAAAATTCTAGCAATGTTAAATATCTCCCATGCCCACACTCGGAACATTATTCTTACTTTACTTTTTCACTTTTTTAAAAACAAATTACAAGTTTTGTCATTTTGCTTTTACAGTTTACTATAAATGTCTTTTAATGATTCTTTCAACTATTGTTTAGTTTAAAAAATATATACTATGCAAGCTCATGCCTGTAATCCCAGCACTTTGGGAGGCCGAGGTGGGCAGATCACCTGAAGTCAGGGGTTTGAGACCAGTCTGGCCAACATGGAGAAACCCCATCTCTACTAAAAATACAAAAATTAGCTGGGCATGGTAATGTGGGCCTGTAATCCCAGCAACTCAGGAGGCTGAGACGGGAGAATCGCTTGGACCAGGGAGGCGGAGGTTGCAATGAGCCAAGATCATGCCACTGCACTCCAGCCTGGGCTGCAGAGCGAGACTCTGTCTTTAAAAAAAAAAAATGGCTGGGCGTGGTGGCTCATGCCCATAATCCCAGCACTTTGGGAGGCCAAGGTGGGCAGATCACCTGAAGTCAGGGGTTTGAGACCAGTCTGGCCAACATAGTGAAACCCGTCTGTACTAAAAATACAAAAATTACTTGGTCGTGGTGGCAGGTGCCTGTAATCCCAGCTTCTCAGGGAGGCTGAGTCAGAAGAATTACTTGAATTCAGGAGGCAAAGGTTGTAGAGAGCTGAGATCACACCACTGCACTCCAGCCTGGATGACAGAGCAAGATTTTGCCTAAAACAACTAAAGCTAATCATATAAAAACACATATTGATACATAGGTATTGAATATAAATGAGCACACACACACGTATGTGTCCTTATATCTATTATTCTGTATTTTGCTTTTCTTTTTTTAAACTTGTTCTTGAATCTTTCAAACATATAAGAAATCAACAGTCAATAAATAGGAACATAAACTCAAATGGTCAATAAACATATGAAAATGTTCTCAATTTCATTTGTAATTAGGAAAATGCACATTCCAACCACACTAAGTAGATACTTTACAACTATTAAAAGTTTAAAAGTCTGACAAAGGGAGAATGTGAAGCAAAAGGAGTGTTAAAATAGTGCTGATTTTAGTAAAAGTTAGAACAACCACTTTGGAGAAGAAGTAGGTAATATCTAATGTATTAGTCAGTCTAATTAGATATGGCAATATCTAATATATTGCCATAATACTATGTTAAAGAAAAAAAAAACCAAATAAGCAAATATTTGGCTGGGCACAGTGGCTCATGCATGTAATGCCAGCACTTTGGGAGGCCAAGGTGAGCAGATCACTTGAGGTTTGGCGTTTGAGACTAGCCTGGCCAACATGGTGAAACCCTGTCTAATTTTTGTATTTTTTAGTAGAGATGGCGTTTCACCATGTTGGCCTGGATCGTCTCAATCTCTTGACTTTGTGATCTACCTGCCTTGGCCTCCCAAACTGCTGGGATTACAGGTATGAGCCACTGTGCCCGGTTGTAAAGATTTCTTAAACAGGACACAAAAAGGAAAATGAAAAGAAATGAGAGAAAAATTAAAGAATTGAATAAAAAGATTGATAAATTGAACTTCATGAACTATCAACACTACTAGAAAAGTGAAAGACTCTATAAAGCAGACAAAACATTTGCAATAGTACATTCTACAAAAGCCCTGTATATATAACATATAAAGAACTACTACAAATCAATAAGATAGAGACAAAAAATGAAAATAAAAAATGGGCAAAGACATGAACAGGCACTCTACAAAAGAGGATATTCAAATGGTCAATAAGCATATAAAAAGAAGTTACTCATCAAAGAAATAAGTTGAAATTAAAAAGATGGAAAAATACTATGCATACAGCAAAAGAGAACTAGAGTAGCTATAGTAAGATCAAAGTAGACATTAATGCAAAAAAATTACTAGATATAGGGCATTTTTTATGATAGAAGGGTCAATCCATCAGGAAGATATAACAATTATACATACATAATTACCTAAAACTGAGCCCCAAAATATGTGAAATAAAACCTGACAGAACTGAATGGATAAATGGACAATTCAATGATGATAGTAAAACTTAAATACCAAACTTTCAATAATGAGTAAAATAACTAGACAGAAAATTAGTAAGGAAATGGATTACTTGAACAATAGTGTTTATCAACCAGACCTGACAGACATATGTAGGACACTCCATTCAACAGCAGCACAAAATACGTTGTTCTCAAGTGCACATGGAACACTCTCCAGGATAGACCATATTTTAGGCCATAGAACAAGTCTCAATGAATTTTAAAAGATGAAAATTATACAAGATATGTTCTTTGTCAATGGAATGAAATTAGAAATAATAACATAAGAAAATTTGAGCTGGGTGTGGTGGCTTATGGCCATAATCTCGACACTTAGGGAGGCCACGGTAGGCAGATCACCTGAGGTCAGGAATTCGAGACTAGCCTGACCAATATGAAGAAACCCTGTGTCTACTAAAAATACAAAAATTAGCTGAGTGTGGTGGCATGTGCCTGTAGTCCCAGCTACTCAGGAGGGTGAGGCAGGAGAATCACTTGAATCTGGGGGGCGGAAATTGCAGTGAGCCAAGATCCTGCCATTGCACTGCAGCCTGGGCAACAAGAGTGAAACTCTTCCTCAAAAAAAAAAAAAAAGAAAATTTGAAAAATTCACAAATATGTAAAAGTTAAACAACATGCTCCTAAGTAAACAGTGGATCAAAGAAGGAATCCCAATCGAAATTCAAAAATACTTTGAAGTGAATGAAAACAAGTACACAACATACCAAAACTTAGGGGATATAGCAAAACTAGTGCTCAGAGGGAAATATATACATACCTGTAAACACCTTC